TTTTCAGATAACTTCGATTTCTTAATTAGCAGAAGCCTGGAAACCTTCAGGTAGTGAGGAAAGCCACCTTTCTTTCATAGTCCTATTTCATTTAACCCCTATTTTATCTTTGTTACTGCCGACTGTCAGCTGTCAGTATATCAGAGAGTGCTAGTAGCCGGCACAGTTTACAACTCATTCCAGAAGTACATAACCAGAAGTGTCCATCTCCCCAATAATATCGACACCATCAGATGTCCCGATAATCTATTTTTAGACAACCAATCACAACGTGCGCACATATTACACGGCACCTGATTGGTCCTTGTTGAGCTTCTTCAGTCAAGAGCGGACAAGAAAGGAAAATTATGTAGTCGATTGAGGCGAACGAATTGAAGTTCGCATTTACGAGAATTTTACAGGTTTTGCTGAACAACCATTTTTGAATTCGAGAAAAAACATACTTTATATGAGCAACGTAGCGAAGGCAGTTCAAGAGCAATATGGTCTGCGAAAACAAGGGAAAAGTTCAGACAAAGATGAAAAAGATGCAGACAAAAGGAGTGCGAAGAAATGTCTGCAAAAATGTGATTTTTGTGGCGAGAATTGTTCTTAAAAAGCCCTTAGACTATACATAGAATTGTAGTAAAGGTATTTTAGGATCTAAATAGCTTTATAAAAAGGGGAAAACTAGCACGCTGTTTTACATTTTTCTTCATCTTTGTCTGAACGTTTCCCTTGTTTTCGCACACCATATTGGTCTTGAAATACTTTCGCTACATTGCTCATATATAGTAAAGTATGTTTTCTATCAAATTCAGAAATGGTTGTTTCGCAAAAGTTGTAAAATTCTCGTAATGCAAGCTTTACTTCGTTCGCCTCCATCGACTACATTTTTCTTTTTGTCGTCCGCTCTTGTTGAAGAAGCTCAACAAGGACCAAGAGTTGTGATTGGTTGTCTAAAAATAGATTATCGGGACATCTGATGGTGGCGATATTATTGGGGAGATGGACACTTCTGGTTATGTACTTCTGCTCATTCGATATATTCAAATTCATATTTCTTAGACAAAGACTGGACAGGGTGTTCTCCAGACATTTGTACATGTGCTTTTATACCTGACCCTTAAAACAACATCAAAGGAAAATAGTCTCCTTTACGATCACCTGCGCCATCTCGAAAGGTAGACGTCCCTTTACATCGAAGCGACACAACCGTTGAGCGTGCAATGATAGATTACTGTGAATTATTGTCTGTAGGTATGAAAGAAGGTTTCTATCATTGCACGCTCAACGGTCGTCTCGCTTCCATGCAAAGGCACGGCTACCTTTCAAGATGGCTCAGGGAACCGTGAAGGAGAATATTAATAGAATATGAATATGTTTTTGGTCTAATTATCTTTTTCAGCTTGCATGGTGGAGCAACAATAGTAACCAAAGATTCCCGGAAGGCCATATACTTTGATGGACACGATGACTATGCKACCATACCAAAATTCAACATTCACAAAACCGATTTTACCATCGCTTTCTGGTTTAAAGGTGCTGGAARCAMATATGRRTTTTTCARCCTCTTAAACGACAAAGCCAACTCTGTGACACAGTTTTCGATATTTGTCTATTATAACTTTATCGACTTTAAATTTTTAAACACTAATGCTAAATCTGTTACTAAAGGATCAGGAATTCGAGCAAGGTAAGTTACAAATGATGCGAACATTGCATAAGTTCGAGGAGGTTATATTATGTCGACATTAAAATGACGTAAAAGGTGGAAATGCGTGGAC